AAAATTGGAAGGAAATGCATTGCATGATGAGTTGAACTGATTTAAGTTGATTATATAGCGAGCTGACAAACACTGTGAGTGTAGAAAATATGTAGTAATTAATGAAAGAAGATTAAACACGCCATAATTATTTATATATAATGATTAATTTACTATAATATTTTACACTTTATACATTGCATGGTAAGATACATGAGTGACTTAGTACCACATAGAGTTCCTATGAGATTCAAATTTTTCACTATCTTCATCATCTCTATGTGTAGAGTAAGTGTATTGTGAAGAGTAGTCATCAAATGATAAATCCCCAAAATAGTTTTGCATGTAATTGTTAACATGTCACCCATATGAATCCGAGATTGGTTGACATTGTCCATAAGCAAAATCATTTAAAGATTAGGTCTCAGATTCTTTCCATGAGCCGCTCAATTCCATCCTGAAAGGGAAAGGTCAAAGGCTCACATTCTCATGTGAAAATATGATTTTTGCAAAAACAGTTCAAAACAAAACAATAAAAATATACATATTTTAGCATATTATCACAAAAACATAAGCAACATGGTGGTTAAGGCGTTGGATGAGTGAAATGGCAAGGGTTTGAATCCCCTTTGCATATGTGCTTTGTGTTTTTTTTTCTTCCTTTTTTCCATTACATCGATATTTTCGATATTATAGCGATATTTTAACAAAATATTGTTGAAGTGTGAGCGAAATTATCGACATTGATATTTTCCGATATTATCGATATTTATACGATATGTGTATAGATACATTCCGAAATATCCGTGACCTGAAAAAATGATAATATCCTCGATATTTCGTTGATATTATCGATATTTGAGACTATGACTGCGCCCACCCCTAGTATTGTTGATGGAAACTAACAAAAGTGATAAAGTGAGAAAATTTCAGCAATTTTTAGAGATTCTGAGGGTTAAATGAGAAAATTTCAATTTCAGGGAGTAATGTGAGACTAAGCGCCTGTTTTAGGGGTAAAACAATAATTAAATTTTTAAAAAACTCATTTTGCAAACGCGACTGCTGGCGTTTCATTTTTCATTTTGAGTTTTTCTATTTAAACCATGCACTTCTCTTTGTTCACCCCATTTTCTAAGTTCACCCCAACTTCTAATTCAAATTTTCACAGTTTTTAAGAAAACCCCACTATCTTCTCAAACTACACCTAAATAAACATGTAGCATAAAAAATAAAAAAATAAAAAACTCATCAACCTCACCCTCCACACCCAACACCCCACACCCCTAACCCCCTACCTCGCTATCTTGCCCCTCACACAACTCTAAGTTCACATCAATCTCACATTACTTAAAGAGATAAAAACATTGTTGTCAAACTCAATTGACGACCCACAAGCCACTATTTGCATACCGCATTTAGGGTTTGTGAAGAGAATATGAGAGTGCAGTAAGTTTCTTAGATTGAAAGAGAAGAGTAATCTGGAGATAGGGTGTAAAGGAGTTTGTGTTTTTCTAAAACTTAATATGTAGGGTGGTGAGGTGTGTGTATAGATGTACTAGGGTTAAGTATTAAGTTGGATGACATTTTTTGTCTTTTTACACAATAATAAAACTTAAGAGTTTAATAATTTAAGTATTGGGGTGAACAAAGAAAGTGTGAGATTTAAATAGAAAAATTCTTTCATTTTTTCGCCTTTTTGTATTTGTCGGACGACTTACTTTCCAGTTGTAGTGAAAACTTTACCTTTATCATAAACTTGACTCTTTGAACAAAGGTTCCACGCTGTACGGACAAGCCTTGCTTCTTCACAAGGTTTTCTTCTCCGGGTTTTTCGAATTCCGATATCAAAGCTGAGGACGACGACGACAAGGAAACCATACAAAGAAGCTGAAGTTCAAGATGGGCTTTGTGGGTTTTTTTGCATTTTTACTTCAATGCTTTGATGTTCTTGCGTGGTACGCTTTTTTCTAAGAGAATGAAAATCTTGGTACAGTTGAGTTGAGCAAATTTTCTTGTTCATCATTTCATGTTGTTTGTGATTCTTTTTCTGCAGGCCTTTACTTGCTCTGGTGTATCCTTTGTAAGCCTCTCTACCCCCACCCACATATTTATTTTATTTTGAAGAAACTCTGTTTTCATCCTACTAGTGTTTTTTTCTTGGGATAAATCCTACTAGTGTTCACTTTAGCATCTATGGAAATGGGGTTTTTTTTCTTTTTTTTTTGTCTACCAAAATGGGAGTAATTTTTCGATATTGCATTTTATGATGATGATGCTTTTGATAATAATTTTATTGTTTACTAATGTTGATACTGTGTTGATTGTTTTTTGACAGATGTTGTTCCATTAGGGCGATTGAGGCCAATTCTGTTTCAGATTCTGTGAAGTTGAATACTTATTGGGTTGTCTTCTCATTGATTCTGCTATTAGAGCATGCATCTATGAAGCTCCTAAAATGGTAATTCTGTTGTTTAGTTTATTGAATTTTCTTTTTCTGGTTTCCAAATAAATGATACAAAAGTTGAAACCTTGCATATTTTAGGCAACAGAAGCGTTTAACTGAAGTTTCAGCCAAGTTACTATGAAAGCCTTTCTGGAATGTGATTTTCCCCCCAAATTTTGCCCAATTAATTTGGTTGTCCATAGTATTTGTTTCTTAGTACATAGAAGGGAAACAAATGGAGAAGCCGTAATAAAATTGAAAAAGGAATTTCAAAGATTTCCTAGCCTTCACTATAATCAAAAGGAGAGCAGAAATTTTCGCAATCTGGCTGTTCTCACGAGCTGGAATCTTGTGACTGGTATGGAATTTTCAGAAGTGAATTTGTGTGGCGTATCCATTCATTGTGGTATTATTGAGACAGAACAGTCTCATAAATAATTTTGGAGTTACCTTTTAAGATGGTTGTGATCTATTATGTGGTAGCTTTCTGGTAATACATTCACAATTATATGGTCACATTTGGTGGTAAAACACACTTTTTATATACAATAGTTTAACAGACATATGAAAGCATGCCTAAAGAATAGGATTGTTTAAAATTCTTCTCATTGCTTTTTTCTAATTCAATTCAAACTTATGAAATGGTTGTAATTTATTCGTTCAGCTTCAGAATTTTTGTTCCGGCAAATGCCACTTATCAAATCTAGAGAGTTGGTATCAGTTAGTTCCTTTTGGGCATAGTGCTGACAGTTGTTACAACTTTTCTTTGTTCAGTGGTCATGAGGAACTATAAAATTTGTTTCTATGTTTCTTAATTTTCCATTGCTGTACCTGTCAGGCTCCCTCTGTGGCCATATATTAGGCTCATGATCGTCTTCTGGTTGGTGATACCTCATTTCGATGGAGCTTTATATGTCTATAAACACCTAATCTGTCCATGCCTGTCCATGGACCTCCAAATTGTTATCAACTGGTTCAACAACCGGAAGAAATCCTCGTTTAACAGAGACAATTTTCTTGCCGAGGTGGAGAGATATGTAAAGGAGAATGGACCGGAAGCTCTGGAAAAAATTGTTGCTTCCAAAGTAAGTAGGTCGAACCTGGTGAAGAAAATATGTTGTTATGTATCATAGGAATAAATTAGTTTTTAGAATATGCCTACAGGTGTGTGCACTAGTATAAATGCTTTGACCTGTGGAAAAACATATTCTATGGAATCGTTGTCAGAGATGGACTAATAATACTTTTTTCCTTCAGTCTGAGAGAACAAAGTCAAATCCCGATGCGAAAGAGTTCAAAGCAGTTTCATCTCTGGAGAATAAAGAGGTACACTCTCTGTGATCCCTGATGCAACTCATACAATTTTCATTACACGTTTCTATACACTCCAGTGGTTTGTATTTGATGTCTTTTCATAGATGAAATTCTAAAACTGTGATCGTTGCAATAACCCCTGAATTCTGGGTTTCTCTGTTTACTTCTTCTGACTGGGTTTCTCTGTTTACTTCTGACTCAGAATTTCATTTTGATTTTGAATTATGCTTGATTTAAAGAGAGAATATTGTGAAATTAAGTTTGCATTTGCAATATAATTAAGAGCCTAATTTATTAATTTGATGAGCTAACCTCTAACCTTCCCTCGGTCTTCTTCATACAGTCCAAATCCAGAAAGCCTAATGTTGCACAGAAGGATATCAAAGCATTGCAGATGATTGTGAATTTTAAAAAAAAACCTAGTGTTCCACAAAAAATTTATGCTAACATTTTCTCTCTTTGACTTTCTTTGACTTTTTAAAAACTCTTTGTGCTAGTAGTCTGTTCATTTCCATTATCGCAACAGAATTTTGTATGCTTTATCTGAGAAGACTGGAAGCAGTAAAACAATTTTTCTTTTTGGACCTCATCTTCATTGAATTTGCAGGTTCGTCAGGCAGAGCCTAATCTCACTGGTACTGAAAACATCAGATTTCCCAGTATGGATGTTGAAGAAAAAGCCATTGGGGTTGCATCAGAGAGAGGAGTTCTGAACACTCCACCTTCAAAGAACGTTCAAGAGTGGACAAGTGCATTCAGTCAGGTAACAATCCAAAGTGATACAACTTTTAACTCCCACCCGGACGGTAAAATACACGAGGCTGTATATGAGAAACTGAAAATAGAGAACCAGGCTGAAGCTAAGCTCACTCAGACGGAAAAGGGTACATTTGCGGTCATGGAGACTAAAGAAAAATCTGTTGATGTTGCAACAGGTAGAGCAGTTCTTGAGTCTTCCCAAAATGTCCAGAAAGAGTGGACTTGTGCTCTCTGTCAGCTAACAACTCCAAGTGAAGCAACTTTAAACTCCCACCTCCAAGGCAGAAAACACAAGGCGGCATGTGAGGCACTGAAAGCAAAGAGCTGGCCATTTGCGCCGAAAATTCCCCCAGCTTCAAAGGAATCTCATCAACCTAAAGAGGAGCCAGGAAAGCGGCCAACGAGCAGTGCATCAAAACAAAAAGTTATTATAGATGAAAAGGCGCAAAGCCAGAAAAATAGCATTCCAGCTTCAGGTACAAAGACTTCTGATAAATCTAAAGAGGAGCCAGCAGAAGGTGCATCCATCAATGGAAGCCAACAAGGAAACCCGATTGAAGTTCCAAGCATGAAGGATTTAACTCTATCGTGCAGTGTTTGTAATGTGCACTGCCCCAGTGAGATTGTCATGGCATCGCATCTCAATGGCAGAAAACACCAGAAAAAGATGCAACAACGACAACAGAACCCAAATTAAGTTCTAAGGAAGAATGATTTTTTGTGGAACATAAATCGCCACCATTGAGAATTGAGTTGTAGTGACACACCACAACCCACTTAACTCGTTTTACGTGTATTCAAAGCACTAAAATATTGCCAACGGGGTCAGTCCAATGGAATTGACTTGCAGACCAGTGATCTCAGGTTCCCATGGCACTTTGATAGTGTGTGTTAGAAATCTCATTTCCCCTTGTAATTCCAACTATAGCTTGTATTTGGGATTTTTTTTTTAAACCTATAAAATATTTTAACAATCAAAGGACCTCTTTTATTCCATATTCCAGATTGGTTATCTATCATGTTTCAGTTATAATTTTTAATTGGTTTCTTCTGGATGCTAGTTGACAATGACATTAGCAATTTCAAGTTGTCTCAATACTCACCCCTTAGAGAGCTGGTCTTCTCATTTTTAATATTTTTCTTTTGCTTTTTCAAGACAACTCGACTTTTAGACTCATCTGCCGACAGCATCACTATCAATCATAGAGGTCTACGCAAGTAAAAAACCTTACAGTAACGTTTTGCCATCCTACACTATGACACGTGAAAAAGTTCTATTTGTCATTGCGTTATTAATTAGGGATAGCACAGGGTAGAGATGATACTAATTTCCCAGGGGGGAATGTTTGGTTTGGATGAATATTAATTCCATTCTTCATCAACTTTTAAAAATTATGTAGTTAACATTTTGGTGAAACTCCTTACAGTAATTCGTTATGCCAAATTTCATCTTTTGACTGAGCTCCGGAATGAGTATGCCCAGTTGGATCATTCATTCCCTCATCTGGCCATATTTAACTAAGTGTGCTAGGTCACCTCTTTTTAATGAGTACAGTTTCTTGCTTAAACATATATTTTGCCCTATCAAAACCCCCACCTCACAAAAGGAACTACCACAGTAAAAAGAAAAACGAGAGCCTCGAAACAAAGAAACCAAATGTGGAAGAAAGCACAAAATATAACAGGAAGACGACCTTGACATTGATTTATTGTATTGTTCAGATGAGTTCCAGAAAGGGACATGTATGTTTGTAATCATGGTAACTATGCCTTCTGAGAAGTAGGCATTGCGAGATTAACTACACCACTGCCGGGTAAATTCTTCCATTGCTGAGTTACTGTTTTGATCTGGGTGAAAAAGTTAACACCAGCCTTACCTGTAATGCATACAAAAACTCTTCATAATTTACCAGAACGACATAATTCATTATATACAACCATTTTTTGAACAATAACTACTCAAAAACAGATTGCTACCATCATAAAAAGAGTTGAGTAACAGGTGGAAGAGATATTTTACCATAGAAATTCAGATCGCCTGCAAAAGATGCCTTGTTGCCAGTAAAAGAGAAAAATGGCAAGGGAACTGGAATAGGAACGTTGATTCCAACCTATTTCATACTCAAAACAAGTTAGAGAGTGATATAACGCGTCTCTTTATTTGCCATATTAACTTGCAAATTCAGCAGCAGCAGATGCTCAAAAGACTTAGTTTACCTGTCCAGCCTCTATCTCAGTCTGAAATTTCCTTGCAGCTACCCCAGATGTAGTAAAAATAGAAGCTCCATTGCCATATCTGTAAAAAAAAAAAATCACTCATGTAAACCACATAAAATATCTCTTCTAAACTAACGCTATTTAAGGCAACAAGAGAAGCAATAATTAGTACTTGTTTCTGTTAACAAAGCTTATTGCCTCTTCTAAGCTGTCAGCCTGACATTAAGAAGAACAAAGGATGTGTTAACAATCTCCATACCACGCAAGGAGAAAGATGACAGGCAAAGAAACAGGAATCCAGTCAATCAACATACCTCCGAGCAAAGAAGAACTGGACCAAAAATTTCTTCCTGCACAAAAGAAGGTAGAAAATAATCAAGTTCCTTCCAACATAAAGATTCAATTGGTTTTCATCCTTAGAAATTTCAGTCCATATCAACATATACAAACAAATACAAGGTGCTGAATCTCTTGGTATCCTACCAAATATGTGCCTAAGAACTTGGGTCTTTTTAATGGAGAAGGCAACCCCTACTGGTTAGCCAACAACCACCATCTGTTTTGAAAATACAATGGAAAAATTTAAAGGGAAAGAGACTAAAAATCTGAAGAAAAAAAAAAAGATACCTTGTGGCACTCCATGTCAGCTGTAACATTTGATAAGATTGTGGGGCCAATGAAATTTCCATGCTCATATCCTCGAACCTGTTTGTTACCAATGATGAATAAGTAGATAAATGACCAGTTTATCTTTAGAAAAGCTGAGTCAGGCAAGCACATTAACCATCTAATATAACATAGAGAGGGGAGAGACTTATCATTAAAATGTCAAAACTATTTTGTGCTAGCATGTTAGCAATAAGTGGGAAGCATCAAAATATAAAATGCTACCGCTATATTTCTGCCATCAAGCAATAGCCTCGCACCACTTTCAACACCAGACTGGATTAATTTGCATATCCGTTCCTTTGCCTGTGAACGAATCCAGTAAAAATTCATTAACAGAAACTAAAGAGTGAAGCCAATGTCAACCACATGAAGCATGCACTTTAACAACTAATATGTTATTTGGTTAGTCATTCATGTAAATGTGAATAATTTATAGAAAGAAGACTTAAACAATGTCACTCTTTGGTAACCTAATTGGTAGTCTGGGAAAGGGAGGAAAAAGGAAAAAAGACTTTTAAAGTGCTTACTTGTTTGCTAATTACGGGACCAAGGTCAGCATCAGGTTCTGTTCCAGCACTTACTTTCAGAGCTTTGGCAGCTTCCACAAGTTTGTTCTCCCTGGAAGAGTTTAATAGTTAAAATCTAATGTCAGTCTTCAAACTCAATTTTCTTTTTTCTTTTTAAAATTTTTTAAAAACGCCTAGATTACTTGGAAATAACAAGATATCTGGGACACCAATGATTGAGAAAAAAAAACAAAACAAAACAAAAAACTGCAACGACAGAATATAGGTCACTTCTTAAAATGTTCCATAGAACTGATACTTATTTTACTAAGCACTAATAGATACTAATAAGGTGAGTACAGAATTGAATTCATTTACCCTAAAATAGATAACAAAGAATTGGAACTTAATCATGTTCATTTCCTAGTCTGCTTTTACATTGTGTTTTTTAATAAATTTAAAAGAAGCTTTCATAGAGTTTGTAGAAATAGTAAAAAGTTCCTTTGCTTGACAAGTGAAATGAGCCATTTTCAGGAGGAAAAGACTTGTCACAACAGGGATGGTTAACATGTATAATTCAGATACTTCAAATGTCTAAAGCCATTTTCCAAAGTGAGGAATGTGTAATGTTTTTATTTTGAATCTACATGAAGGTTAGATAAGGTTCTACTAAAACCTTATCTTGGATAAGTTTTTTTGGAGGAGTCATCTAGGAAACAAATAAGGGTGAATATTGGTTGGTCTTCTCAAGCACCACTGAACTCTTTTTGGAGAAGCCTTTTAGAACATAGAACATTGCCAGAGCAGCAAGTGGAGATGGATTTGAAAAGGTAAGGACATCGAAGGTCAATAAAAACCTTACTTTGGTAACACTCTGAAGGTAAGTTTAAAACTTTCAACCTTCAAAGAAAAGGATATGCGAATGTGGAAGGCATAAACCTTAATGAAACTAAACATATGGAAAAAGAAAAGAGAAAAAAAAAACATAATACCATGACTTTGAACCTCCAACAAAGACAACTGTGCTGAGAGCCATGCACCGTTGTCCTGCAGCACCAAAGCCAGCAGCAACTAAAGCATTCAAAGTAGCATCAGCACTTGCATCAGGCATGACAATTGCATGGTTTTTCGCCCCCATATTAGACTGGAAAAGTAGTTAACCAGGTAACCAATTCATTTCACTTTCAACTGGCACAAGGGTATGAAAGCCACCAATTGGCTCATAAGAGAAACAGTTAAATACAAAGCGGACTTACCTGAACACGTTTCCCTTTTGCTGATGCTCTTGAATATATGTGCATGCCAGCCTTTGTGATGTAAACATAAGAACATTGTGTAAGAGTATAGCCAGGCCAACTGATACATCAGAATCAAATTGCAAAAAGAAGAAGAATTTTTCCTTTCAAAAAATTAAATATGATAAGAGCATGCTCCTTTGTACCAGAAACATAGTGGTTGACATGCAAACTTATAGGTCTGAACAAAAGTTCACAACCAAGGTAAGAATAGAAATATTAAATCCGACAGATAAATTTATTCTGTAAGTAAACAAACAATTGTTGGAACAAATTAAAGGTGTCAGAACAGAAACCAACAAATTAATCACTCAAAGCAACATTTGAATTTGTCTTGCCAAAAAAATGTCTGGAAAAACATTTTTATCATACTTCTAACTCTAAGCAACTTTGCATCCTAAAGTAAACATATTGGGGTCTACTTTGAAACTAGGATCACTTCCACAAACAAACTATGAGTTCATAAGAAAATCTCAGTGACGTGATATGCCTGTCAACTGAATTGAAGACTTTATGTAGGGGTGGTGAGTACAACATGAAAACCACAATAGTTAGCTACGTATTGGAATAACTATTGAGTTCAGGTATTTTTAATTTCTTTTTGGGATTGAAAATAAATTGAAACACGCATAACGGTCCAGAATGTTAAGACTACAAGGACTATTAGTGTTGTTAACTTAACATTGCAGATTAAGATGATAAAACTACACATAAAAGTACATACAGAAATTGGAATATGGATGTAATCACTGTGAGAAAACTTACAGTATTAGAACCCACAAATGATACAGCTTTTATATCCTCGTCATCACAAATTGCATTGACAATATCCTGCCACAATGTAATATACATTCAGGGAAACCGATTCCACTAAAGGTACCAAACTTCTGATATGAAAGCTTCCAAAAAATTTAAAAGTTGTCTTTGGAAAAATCATTGCAAATATAAACACAACTGTACAACATATGGTATACGTCACTGTTGGGATTTACAGGTGCAAAACTCTTAGCTTCTCTTGCTCACACTTTTTCATGCAACCAAACTACATTTACATTTCTAAGGTATATATACAGGGTTTAGAAATAATAAGTTATCAATAAAAGTAGCAGCGAAGCTTTCCTTCACAGGGAAGGACATCACGTGTCATCTGCTTCACTGTTAATATTTGGGGCCCACAATAATGATTTACACAAAAAACTACAGCCCCAAGCAAGTGAAAAAATTGGCTTCTTTTTGTGGATCCTTCTACTTTTATTCTCACCAATGACCCATGAGATGGCAAATATATCCAAAATATATATAAAAAAGA